CCCCCCCTCTCTGGCTCTCTGTCCCCCTCTCTCTGGCTCTCTGTCCCTCTCTCTGGGTCCCTGTCCCTCTCTCTGGGTCTCTGTCCCCGTCTCTCTGGCTCTCTGTCCCCCTCTCTCTGGCTCTCTGTCCCCCTCTCTCTGGGTCCCTGTCCCTCTCTCTGGCTCCCTGTCCCCCTCTCTGGCTCTCTGTCCCCCTCTCTCTGGCTCTCTGGCCCCCTCTCTCTGGGTCCCTGTCCCTCTCTCTGGGTCCCTGTCCCTCTCTCTGGGTCCCTGGCCCCCTCTCTCTGGCTCTCTGTCCCCCTCTCTCTGGGTCCCTGTCCCTCTCTCTGGCTCTCTGTCCCCCTCTCTCTGGGTCCCTGTCCCTCTCTCTGGGTCTCTGTCCCCCTCTCTCTGGGTCCCTGTCCCCCTCTCTCTGGGTCCCTGTCCCTCTCTCTGGCTCTCTGTTCCCCTCTCTCTGGGTCTCTGTCCCTCTCTCTGGCCCCCTGTCTCTCTGGCTCTCTGTCCCTCTCTCTGGGTCCCTGGCCCCCTCTCTCTGGCTCTCTGTCCCCCTCTCTCTGGGTCTCTGTCCCCCTCTCTCTGGGTCTCTGTCCCTCTCTCTGGCCCCGTCTCTCTGGCTCTCTGTCCCTCTCTCTGGGTCCCTGTCCCTCTCTCTGGCTCTCTGTCCCCCTCTCTCTGGGTCCCTGTCCCTCTCTCTGGCTCTCTGTCCCCCTCTCTCTGGCTCTCTGTCCCTCTCTCTGGGTCCCTGTCCCCCTCTCTCTGGGTCCCTGTCCCTCTCTCTGGGTCCCTGTCCCTCTCTCTGGCTCTCTGGCCCCCTCTCTGGCTCTCTGTCCCTCTCTCTGGCTCCCTGTCCCCCTCTGGCTCTCTGCGCTGCCCCAGGTCTCTCCCCTCTCTCGCACACTTCTCCCCTTTTCTCTCTGAGCCTCTCCTGGTCCTCCCTCCCTCTGGCACAGGGTGCACTGTGACTGTTCGTGGCTGTGTGACAGTGGAGGACTCACTTCCCCTCTCTGAGCCTGTTTCCTCATTTAGAAAATAAGGACGTGAATAGCTCGGGCATCGAATCCGGCGCTTTCGAGATTCTGGGAAAATCCCCTTCACGCCTTTAACACATCACCTGGCACATAGCAAGGGCCGTTACTGGGAGCTGTTGTCCTGAATCTGTGCCTGTCTGTCTTTCCCTCCTTCCCTTCCTCCTCCCCCCGCTTCTCAGCCTCCAGCGTCTCCTCCCAGGGGAAGGTCCTGGTTCCAATCCGGCCAAGGAGAGGCTGCCCCGCCCGCGGCCCGGGCCCCTCCCTTCCTGCCTGGGTCCCGCCTGCGCCAGCCCGGCCTTTGGCCTGCTCTGGGTCAGCCCCTGGGTGCCAGGGGCACAGAACTGGAACCTTCTGTATCCAGGAAGGTGCTCCACGCAGGAGAGGGGTCTGGGGTCCCAGGGCCTCTGTGGTGCAAGTCAGGGGTAGATGCTTTCCTGGGGGGTTTCTGGACGAATAGGGGATCCCTTCAGAGTGGGATGGAAGTATCAAGAGGACGGGTGATCTGGTGGCTGGAAGCCTGCAGGCTGTAAGGCCGTGTGTCCTATTAGAGGGGTCTTTGTGGGCTTGTCCCAGAGCCAGGATGCAGGGACCAGGTCCTAGGAAGGTTGCAGCTCTGGGGGTGGGGGTTGGGGGGGTAGGGGGGTTTGCATCAGAGCACAGCTTGAAAAGATCCGGGGTGAGAACTGGGGGGTGAACCCCAAGGTGGCCTCTGGCATGGGGAGATCTGTGGTACAACATTATAGGAGCGTATCTCGGACCCCTAAAACCATGCAGTGCAGCTATAGGGTCAGTGTAGGTCTTTCTAGGGGGTGTCAGCTATCAGGGGACTTCATGGGGATGACTTAGAGGACATCAGGGGAGGGCAAGCCAGTGGAGGGACATTCGAGAAAGAAGAGGGGTTGGATTCTGGGGGAGTAGGAGATCTGGGTCTGGTGGGATGGGGGTCCCTGGGACTTGAGGTCTTGGACTTCACTGGAATGGCCAAGGGGAAGGATTCTTTTGGAATCTCTTGGGATCTGAGGGAAAAGTGTTCTCCAAGCAGGCAATGGGCACATCTTTCAGGACTGGTTGGTCCCAGAAGAAACAAGGTATGGGTGTCATTTCTAGATGTTGGGGAAGGTCTCCAAGGTTGAGATAGAGGGAATCTCCAGGTGGTGGGCAAAGGGTGCCCCGAAAGAGGTTCTGGGTGAATTAGAGAGGCAACTGGGGTGTGGACTTTGGGGGAGACAGGACTCAGAAAGGAGGGAGGTGGCATCTAGGGGTTGGAGGCCCATTGAGGGCTCAGGGTGGGACTCTGCTAGGTTTGAGGTGCTCCCAGGGGGTGTCAGGGCCAGGCCAGCAAGGAAGCGGGGTCTTGGGGACCGTTGGGAGGGATGGTGAATTCCCAGGATCGGAGTTTAGTAGCAAAGTCCAGCATGGAAGGGGATGGGACCCTCAGCAGGGCTCAGGGTCACAGTCTAAGCTCTTTCGAGATTGGAGGGCTTCATAGGAGGGCCTAAGTGATAGGTATCGGAGAAATCGGGGTCTCGGGGTCCCCCAAAGGGCTCACTGCTGGGTCCCGGGGGCACCCCCCCAGGATGAGGGCCCACTACCTGGATGAACTGGATGGTCAGTGCGCTCTTGCCCACGCCGCCGCCGCCCACGACCACCAGCTTGTGTGTCTCGCTGGGTGGGGGGTCCCCGGGTCCCGGCCCCCCGCCCCGGGGCCGTCCCCGCCCCGTCCCGGACGCCGCCCCGCCGCTCATGTCGCCACCGCCGCTGCAGCCGCCGCTACCGCCTGGGGGGGAGCCGGGCGGAGCCTGGGGGCGGGCTACGCTAATGAGGTCACTGCATATTCATGAACTTGGTCCAGCAGGGTTCGCGTCTCGGGACACTTAAGGAGGAGGCGAGGCCAAGGAGGAGGAGCTATGCTAATGAGGGGCCGGGGAACTGCGTTCGCGGCGGAGGGGAATTCCGAAAGGGGAGGGAATATGCTAATGAGAGAGTTTTGCTCACCCCGAGCGGCGCCACGCGCTCTCCGCCCGCTGGCCGTCTGGGGGCGGAGCGGAAAGCTCGTTCGGGGCGTGTCTATGCAAATGAGGATCCCTGTGAGGGCTCTACACCCGGCTCGCTCAAGGCTGTGTTCTGGGAGGCGGGGCTCGCAGGCTCGCGGAGGCCGTATATAGGCGAGCTCCAAGGAAGGCGCGGGTCCCGAGGGGAAGCCCCACCTCTCAGATGGGGTGCTATCCAAGTGCCCGACCCGGGCGTCTGGACTGGGTGCTGGAGTCTCCGCTTGCTAAGGAACCCAAGCTTCCGGTTCCCGCTGTCCTAGCCAAACGGAAGATAGACTGGGAGGGGAGCTGGGGCCCTGGAGGGGGACAGCCGGGTAACGGGGCAGGGAGGAGCTGTGAGCTCACTACATTCCTAAACTATGAGCCAGCTCTCTTAGGCCCGGACGCCGGGGTCATAAAGGGCCAGGGGCCAGGATTTCTGGGTCCTGATAGTAAAGAAGGTCCGGGCTCAGATTTCTGGGTGCCTGGGAGAGAGCATGGGGCTAGAGGCTTGCACTCTTGGGTCCTGGGGACGGTGGGGACGGAGGTTCTTTACTATTAAGTTTGGTAAAGGAGGGCACTAGGGGCCAGGACTCTTCGATCCAGGAGCTGCGGGTCCGGGATTCTGTGTCCAAAGGAGGTGGGATGGGTGTTCGTGTAAGGTGCGCGCTGGGGAGCGGGCATTCCCTGTCTGAGGGAGGAGGGGTTTAAGGCCGGAACACTGGGTCGGACAAACAAGGGCTGTAACATCTGAGTCTGAGGAAAGAAATGTGAGCCCGGGCTTTTCTCCTGATGAAAGGAATCGGGGTCCAGACTTAGGTGCCCTAATGAGGAGGAAACTGTAAGGCGGGATGTTTGGGTTTTAAATTTGGAGGACACTGGACAACCGGGATTCTGGGGTCTCCAGGAGGTGGGCGGTAGTGAGCCCCCAACTAGTCGGGCTAGTTTTCCTTGTCAGTCTGCGAAACTAACTACAATTTCCTCGCGTCTTTTTCCTGCGGAGCCTCTCTTAACGTCACTTCCTGTTCCGCTACCCTTTCCGCGCGCGCGCAGAGCACTGTGGGGCCTTATCGCGGGCTCCCGCAATCCCGCCCACTTCACCTCTCACCCTCTTGCTGTCCCCGCGCGACGGAGGCGACGCGCGGACTACTCCTCCCGGCGTGCATCGCAAGACCCCAGCCCGTGGGCCCCGTTGCCTGCTGGGAAGCCGAGTGCGGCAGCCTGCCATCAGCCTTCCCGGCACCGTGCTCAGTACTTGAATTCCCAGCAAGCTCGGCGGCCCCTTAGCCCCGCCCCTTCTCCTTCTCGGCTTGCGAGCCCCGCCCCAGCCCGCCCCGCCCCGCGCCGGGGCCGGAGCCGCAGCCCGAGCGGCGGGGTAAGATGGCGGCGGTGGCCGGGCCCGCGGGGCTCGGGCCTATCGGGGTGGGCGGGGCGGAGTCGGGTCACTAGTTGTCTTGGGGTCCTCTCCATATGAAGCGGGGCCTGGAGGGTTTAGCGGGGCGGCTTCGGAGCCTGCAGCGGCGGCGTAGTCTGGCACTGAGCGGGGGGCCTTCTCAGGGCCCCGGGACGCGTCTTTGGGTGCCGGGGGGCGTTTACGGGGCGCTCCCGAGAGGACCGGGGATGTCCACAGGGACTGGACCGAGGCTGGGGCCTGCCCTCGGTTATCACCTGGCCTGGGTCGTGTCTCTAGGCACTGTAGATCGGCTGTCTGGACTGACCGGAGGCTGGGGCTTCATTAGAGGGTTCTGGGGCCATCTTGAGATCCTAAGATAGGATCCTGTGGGTGAGGGTGGTCCGCGAAGCCATCTAAAGTGCCTTGGGGATGTCTCTTAGGGCTGGGAAGCGTCTACACTGACTTGGCAGAGGATGCAGCTCGTCTACATGAATCTGGGGCCATTTAGAGAGCCTGGAAGTAACGTTCAAGGGCTGGAGAGTCTTATAGGGCCATCCAGAGGGGTTGGATGTGTCCACCAATGGAGGGAGGCAAATACTAAGATGTACTGCGAACCTTGAGTGGCTTTCCAAGGTCTGGGAGGTGTCTGATCTGCATTCAGAAGGCTAGGGGCAGTTAGAAGGGCCTGAAACCCATCTAGGTGGCTTGGGGTGTGACCACCAGGGGTAGGGTGCAGAAGTACCTGGGCAAAGATCTGCCCAAATACGGTTTCTATGCTTGGAGAAAATTGGAATTCCTTCTGGGCCCCAGAGAATAAGACAAAAGAAGGTGTTGAAAATTGTTCCCAGCTCAAGTGTACCTGCCCTTCAAAAAGTAATCCAAAAGGAAACTCTTTTAAAATCCTGCACTGCCCTGGGGCTATAGAGACTCTATCAGTCCACCTTAGTTTGGGGAAGTCGACAGGATCGGTAATAGCCCAGTGGTTTTCAAAGGCTTTGGCCCTTCATCTACAGTAAGCAATATGGTTTCCCTTGAGTTGCAGCACATACCCACAGAAATATTTAACTGATACCGAAGTTCCATGAAATAGGGTTTCCACTTACTCCGTGTAATGTACTGTGAAGTTCCTCGTTGGCTTCAATTTACTTTTTCATAACAAGCTGTCTTGTGACAGACACATTCAACATCCCTCAGTCCCTGTCATTGAAACCCTAGTTTAGACACCTAGCAGTGTCTGCGGAGTCTTCTGAGGTCAGAGGCGCTGTGGGTGGGTTTGCAAAACCTGCGGGGTGTCTAGGCAAGCAAGGGGCATCTTTGTACACCAAGGAGGGCTGGGGGCCCTCAGAGTCGGTGTCAGCCAACTGGTTGACTTCCTTGTGCTATGTGACCATCACCATTGTAGGTGGCCCTGGCTTCCCTGGAAGGTGGTAGAGGGCAGCTGGGAGCTGGGAGCTGGGAGCTGTCCACAGTGCCTGAGAGAATTGGTAGGAAAGAGGCCAGTGTCTTTGTAAAGGGTTGGGCTAGAAACACAGTCAAGAATAGTTCCCCAGCGGGGGGTCGGAGAAAGGGCTGCAGTCTTAGTGCTCTGGTAGAGCTTTGGAGGCACTTGACTGGAAGTCTGGTGGGAGTAAGACTAGGGCCATGGCTGAGAAGATTGTTGCTTGGCCGTCATGTGGCTGGGGAAGCAGGGAGACGGGTGTAGAGAAAACTCGGACCTTAAGAGCTCGAAGCTGCTGTTACCATGACTCCATGTTGAGCGCCGCTGATAGGCCAAGCGTGCAGCACAGGTCCTTGTTTAAAGTCCCACAGTCATCCTCTGTGGCAGATCCTACTATTTTCGGTCCATTTTACAGATAAGAAAACCAAGTTGGGGGCTAGGGATCTTGACCCACGCTCTGAATTCCGCACCTGAGTGTTGATGATTGGGGGCACCTCCTGCTGAAGTCACCATACTTTTTGAGCCCCCTAATCAAGGCATCCCACCAGCCTGGAGTAGGGTCTTTGAACTGGCAGAGTCAGCAGTGAAATCTTAGGAGTCCAGTAGGACAGGCCTGGGGGATGGCATGCTTTCCTGACACATAGCATTTCCATCCTGGAAACGGTCGGATGGTCTCACAGACCTCCCTGATAGTCCCACCTTGTAGCAAACCTGTGAATACGTTTCTCCTGGTCCCTCCATATCGAGGAAAACTGACGGTGTAGGAAGTTTGAAGTGGGGTCTGAGGCGTCGTGCGGAGTGCCTCCCAACACGCGTGCATACGCCTCACTTTGGGAAGGGTGGGTTCTGGGACCGGGGAGCACAGTATTTGATAACACAACTCTTCAGCATACTTTCTGGGTGTTGAGTTAGCTCCCATGAGGATGGAGGCCAAGGTCTTAGAGTTTGGCCAGCTTGTGGGAGCCAAGCTATGGGGACTGGGGACAGAGGTTGACGTAGGAGGCTGAGCCTCCTTGTGAGAGAAGAGGCAGCTGAGGTCCTGGAGGAGGAGGAGGGGACACTCGTCCCTCTGGTGGCTTCTCTGGGACTTGCTTGGGTCTGGGAGGCGCTGAGGTGGGCCGAGGAGAAGAGGCCGCCCTGTGAACAGAACGCTGGTCGGGGCAGCGTTGGAGGCCTGCACGGCCGTTGTGTCCAGCCCTTGCTTCCACTCCCCACACTGTCCCCGGCCTCCCCTCCATGCTCTCGTCCCTCGACCGCCAGGTGACCATGGAGGAGGAGGATGAGTCTCGAGGGAAGACAGAGGAGTCGGGTGAGGAGCGGGGCGACGGTGTGCCCGACCGAGACCCCACGCTTCCTCCTCCTGCCTTTATCCTGGTGAGGCGGCTGGGGTGGGTGGGCGGGAGGAGGGGGCTGGGGGTCCGTGTGTCGGGTTCCCCAGGTGGGGGAGGAGGGCTGGGGGCCCAGATGCTCAGATCCGGGGGACTCATTAAGTCTGGTCATTGGGTGTCTGGAATGTTGTCTCCCAAGGAGCAGGGTTTGGGAGCCCTGGGCCTCCGGTCTCTGACTCCCCTTTCTCTGCACCCCTCGCCCCTTTCTGCAGCGGGCCATTCAGCAGGCCGTGGGGAGCTCCCTGCAGGGGGAGCTGCCGAATGAGAAAGGTAGGGGGTCCCTGGCCGTTTCGCAGCCCCGTACCCCATCTCTGCATTCTGCACCCTAACCTCAGTGGCTCTTCTGAGGCCTTCCGGGCACCAGAGGTGGCTCTGACCCTGTGGCTGCTTGTGGGGGGCTCACGGTCTGGTGGGGGGAGGCCTGACGACAAGACGGGATGATAGGTGCCACCGGGAAAGAAGCCAGTGTGGGATGCGCATGCATGGCAGGAGGTGGGAAAGGCTGGAAAGGGGGTGAGAGGTATAGTGTGCCCAGGGCCCAGGGGCCTGTTCCCGAATTAGCTGTGGCTCACGGGAGCTGGTGAGGAGGAGGCTGGGGACGGAGGGGCACAATGTGTCTCCAATGTCAGGCTAAGGCATTTGGGCTTCTGAGGACACACAGAAAAATAGGGGAGCACAGGGGTCCCACGGGAGGCCTCAGATGACAGGGTGTGGGGGATACCCTCTGGGGGCCTGAGTGGGGAGGCAGTGCATCAAGGCTGGGACACTGGGGGGGGTCCCCATTCCTCTCCCCTCCCCCAAGGGCTGCACCTTGGCCCCCGTCTCTAAACCCCACGTGATTCTCCCTCCAGATGGTTCCCGGTGTTACGGCCTCCGGTGGAGGCGCTGCCGGAGCCCGCGGTCAGAGCCCCGTGCTCAGGAATCCGGGGGCACGGACACGGCCACTGTGAGTGGGGGGGCTGGGGCCGGACCCCGGGCTCTGCGGAAGGGAGGGCTGGGGCCGGACCCCGGGGTCTGCGGAAGGGGGGGCTGGGGCCGGACTCCGGGGTCTGCGGTGCTCATCGGGGGCAGTGATGGGGGGCTGGGGCCGGACCCCGGGGTCTGCGGTGCTCATTGGGGGCAGTGATGGGGGGCTGGGGCCGGACTCCAGGGTCTGAGAAAGGGGGGGCTGGGGCCAGACTCCGGGGTCTGAGAAGGGGGCGCTGGGGCCGGACCCCGGGGTCTGCGGTGTTCATTGGGGGCAGTGATGGGGGGCTGGGGCCAGACTCCAGGGTCTGAGAAATGGGGAGCTGGGGCTGGACTCCGGGGTCTGCGGTGCTCATCGGGGGCAGTGGTGGGGGGACTGGGGGCCGGACTCTGGGGTCTGCGGTGCTGATCGGGGCAGTGGTGGAAGGGCCGGGCTGGTCTGGATCCTGGAGGCAGGCAGCACTGGCGAAGGGATGCGTCCCTGTGTCTCCCTTAGCCACGTGTCAGGGTTCCTGAGTGGTTGGGCTGGGAGACGGGATTTCTGGGTTTTTGGGGCTGGGACAGCATGGAAACCTGGCCTATTCCAGGTGTTGGACGTAGCGGCTGACAGCTTCCTCACTGGGCTGGTGAATGCTCTGGACCCCCCGGACACCTGGGTGCCCAGCCGCCTGGACCTGCGGCCTGGCGAGTGAGTAGTGGGGCAGCGGGAGCGGGAGCGGTGCTTAGCATGGGAGCGGAAAGCCCCCCGAGCTCACTGCCCCTGTCACCTTGCAGAAGCGAGGACATGCTGGAGCTGGTGGCCGAGGTCCGTATTGGGGACAGGGATCCTGTCCCCCTGCCCGTGCCCAGCCTGCTGCCTCGCCTCCGGGCCTGGAGGACGGGCAAAACAGGTATGTGGGGCCAGGGTGGGGCAGCAGCTGTACGGTTGCAGGCGGTTGGCCTGTCATTGCTTTTAGCGGTAAACTTCGCAGTGACTGCGTTATTTAGACAGTCAGATCCTTATTTTAACATCATCTTCTTACTGGGTGACCTTGAAGCTTGCGTGTAGACAAAGCTGTAGGTAGAGGAGAAAGAGACGTGAGAACTGTCACGTCCTAGCAGCTTCCACAGGCGAGGAGCCTAGGTGAGGTGCCCTGCGTATCCACCTGACGGCACCACAAATCCACCTCCCCAGGAGAGGGACTCTTAGCCTCTCCTTATTCCAGGTGAGCCACTTGCTCTAGGTCCCACAGTGGGTTGTTCATGGGGGTCCTGAGTCCTGGCTGGGCCCGTCGGAGCTAAACCCCACTTCTCCACTCTTGTGACGTCCGTCTGTCCAAGGAAGAGCCTGCTTCCTGCTCGATTTCCAGCAGGTCTCCTGGGAGCAGTTTAGACTACGGTTCTCAGGAAGTGGCTTCAGGGTCACCTGGTGGTGGTGGTGGTGGTGGTGAGAGGGAGTCTTGTTCGGACCCAGACTACTGGGCCCACCCCGGAGTGTCCCTTTCAGCAGGTCTGGCTGTGGCCTAGGAATCTGCATTTCTGGCAAGTTCGCCAGTGATTTGGTGCTGCAAGATCTGGCCCTGGGAGAGGAGAGGAGGGTGCAGGCGGTGCCGGTGTGACCAGGCCAGCGGTGGGCCGAGTGCCACCACTGCCCACCCGTCCTGCATGCCCCTCTGGGCCAGGTCACGCCCACCTGGCTCAGGGCCGACTTCCCGTTAGGCACAGGACACGGGGCCTGGAGCCCACAGCACTCTCAGGCCCACAGAAGTATTTTCATTTGTTATAAACTCAAAAGAAGGCGCCCTTGGGGTGCTACAGTTAAAGGGCTCCGCCCCTTAGCAAAAGGGTGGTGCTTCGAACTCCCTAACCACTCCACAGGCGAAAGACCTGGCCATCTCCTTCCATAAAGCTCACAGCCGAGGAAACCCCGTGGGACAGTTGTCCGTCACTGGGGGTCACAGGTAATCGGGAACAACTCCACAGCACAAGGCAACAATAACAAAACCAGTAACAAAAAAAAAAGCAAAACTGGAAGAAGTGAAAAGTTAACAAGCTGGAGTTGATACTAAGGAACCCGTTTGGGTGGTTTTCACCTTTGTACCAGGCAGTCATAAAGCAGTATTTTTATAATTTCTTTTACTGAGGCTGGATTCCGTGAACGTCCCATTGGGTCTGTGTGGTGGCAGTGGTTCCCAGCCTGTGGCTGCAGCCCGGCTTAGCTCAGTCGTGACGGCTGCCTCACTCCCAGTGCCAGGCTCTGCTGGGCATCTTCACCTCTGGGTGAGGTGAGGCGAGGGGGCTGGTTTGCCTCTCATCCAGGGCACCCCCAAGGCCATCTTTGGGAGCATGTCTCGCAGCAGCCGCGTGGAGTTCAGGCTTGGTGGTACTTGCTACAGGAACAGCAGTAACAGAAGCTACTACCTGGAAGATAAAGTCTTGGTTTTTTTAAAGACGTTCCTGCTGGTAAAGTAACAGTTGTAGAAAAACGGTCTAAGCCAGGGGTCCGCAGACTTTTTCTGAAAGAGGCCAGAGAGTAAATATTTTCAGCTCTGGGCCTTAGGGCCTTTACTCTGATGACTAGCTGTGCCCTTGTGATCTGGAAGCAGCCTTTGCCAGTAACATCAGCAGACATGCACAGCTGTGTTCCAATAAAGCTTTATTTACAAAAACAGGTCTCAGGCTAGATTTGGCCCCCGGCCCCTGGCCTGTGGCTAGCAGCCCGCTGATCTAAGCAGTACCGACGCATCTAGAACCCAATAGTTGTCGTTTTAGGGGGACTACAGGGGCAATTTTTTATTTCCTCCAAAATGCCTTGTGTTTCTCAGTTGGAACACGTTGTTTGTTAGTTGCCGTTCTGTTTTGACTCGGGGACCCCACGTGTGCAGAGTAGAACGGCGACAGGGTTTTCAAGGCAGCCTTGTAGCTGCTGGTTGAGGGTTAACCCGCCTGTACCACCCAGACACTCATGGGGACACGTTAAGAACTTGAGAAACAGAAAGGGAAACTGGCTTGTAATCATTTTCCACGTGAAAGCGACAGAAAACACGGCAGTCAGGCAGTCAAGTGGGCTGACAGCTCCCACCAGCAGCCCTGTCAGTAGCTGCTGTAGCTGAGGGCCGTGGCGACAGGGAGGATGGTGGGCGTGTGTGTGCGCGGCCCCGTTCTTTGGGGACGGTCACCCGTTAAGCCTCTCTTTCCCGTGCGGGGTCGCTGTCGTCACCCTCCCCCGCTCCGTCTTCCTCCTTGGCCTCGGCACACTGGCTCAGACATGGGCCTGACTCCCCACTTGAGCACAAAGGTCCAGCCAGAGCACCCCCAGCCGGGCCTGCCTCACAACACATGGTCAGTAGAAGTACTGACGGCACAGAGGTCCCGTCCTTGTGTTTCTAACGTGCTGTTTTGTTGCATTTTTGGTGGAGGTTTACACAGCGGTTCAGGCTCCATTCAGTTCTTTGTACACAAGTTGTCCAGTGACGTTGGTGATGGTTCTTCACGACGCGCAAACGATGTCATGGTTTCTGCCCCGGTTGTCCCTTCAACCTCCTTTTTGTCGAGGAGGAAACGGAGGCATGGAGGGGTTGCGTTGGCTTGTGGGAGACCTTGTTGGCCTGTTTGAGGCTGTTTGCTTGTGTGAAACCGTGTTGCTGGTGGGGACAGTAGGTGCGTGTCAGTGGTGTGTCACCATCTCCTGTGCTGGCCTCCCGTGGTAGTGTCCCCATGCATCTCCAAGCCGGCGTCCTGGCTGTACGACGTCACGTTGAGCGTGTGGCCTCGAGGCTGGCCCACACGGGCTGGAGTCCTGGCCCAGCCTCTGGTGGTGGTGCAGCCTTGGGGTGTCTGCGTATGAGTGCATTGGGGTCGTCACGGGCCTCCTGTGGTCCTGCATGAGGGCCTGGCGCCAGGCCTGAGCACCCATTGTCTTCGTCATCGTTAGTGGGTGGTGTCTCTGGTGGAACCTGGTGCAGAGCAGGGGGAAGGTTCTGGCCATCCGGCCTGCAGCTCCGCCACCGTCTGCCTCTGGTCCGTGGATGGGACGCAGCACGTGCGCTGCCCAATGTGAGCCCCTCTGGGAAACAGGTCAGCCCCTCAGACAGCGAGGCAGGGCGCTGACGCACCCGGGGCCTCGGAGGCTGAGTTAGGTGCCAGTCTCACCCGCTCTGGGAGGTTCAGCTCCAGGGAGAGCGGGTGCTGCCCAGGGTGAGGCTGCTGCGGCGTCCCCCTGGGGAGGGGGCAGGTTTGGGAGCAGGCTGGCTGGGTCGACTGACGCCACCCCTTCTCTCGGGTGATGCCAGATGCCTGTGCTCTGTGTCTCAGTTTCCTCCTGTGAGCTGCAGGGCGCTACACTTGGGGCATGGGGTTTTGGGGAGCAGGGTGTGGCTTGCCACATGGGGGGAATGTTATGTGCTACGTGACAGGGCGCCGTGTGGGGAGGCACCGTGTGCTCGTGACAAGGCACAGTTTGAGAAGGCGCCATGTGCCATGTGATGAGGTGCTGTGTGAGAAGGTGCTGTGTGTTGTGTGACAAGGCACCATATGTCATGTGACAAGGCGCCGTGTGTTGTGTGACAAGGCGCCGTGTGTCGTGTGACAAGGCGCCGTGTGTCGTGTGACAAGCTACTGTGTGAGAAGGTGCCGTGTGACAAGGCGCTGTGACACAAGGCGCCATGTGCCGTGTGATGAGGTGCTGTGTGAGAAGGTGCTGTGTGTTGTGTGACAAGGCGCCGTGTCATGTGACAAGGCGTCGTGTGACAAGGCACCGTGTGTCGTGTGACAAGCTGCTGTGTGAGAAGGTGCCGTGTGCTGGTGCCGTGAATCGGCAGCAGTGTGGGAACCAGGCCAGAAGGGTGAGTAGCACCCCTGACCCTCTGGTGTCCCCCATTCCGTTGCAGTTTCTTCACAGTCCCACGTGTCTCGACTCACCTGTGCCCGCCACCTCCTCACCTTGGGCACTGGAGACGGGGGCCCCGCCCCACCCCCAGCCCCCTCTTCAGCCTCCTCCTCGCCCTCCCCTTCCCCC